ATTAAATGTTCATACTTTCAACTGGAAAAACACACGATGAATTATATATGCTTCAGATATAAGATTTCAAAGAATTCTCAGGATTCCTACTGCAGTGTCACAATCTGAGTTTGATGAAGGGAGCTGGCTGTTCTCTCCCACAAGAGACCATTGCAGGGACACATAATTTTTCTTGCTAGTAGAAGGTCTGGCTACTGGTGTATGATGAGGTGTATGATGAGGCAGGGGAAAATCGCATGGGTGGCTTTGGATCTGTACTTGGCAGCACTAAGGGCAGCCAGACCAAGGCTTTCTGCTGTACCTTGGTTTTGATTTTTTTCCCTCCCAAGCCTTATCTTACATTGTAATTTTTGCTCTTGATACTTGTCACAGCAGTGGGAAGCAGGAGGGAGTTTATTCAGGTTTCATAGCTCCCCATTCTTCCTGCTTAGTCAGTTGTGTCTCTTCCTGTCAGACAAGTGAGATACCTGTGCCACTGCCCTGGTGCTGGTACAGCCCTGACTTTGAGGAGTCCTTTGAGGTCACCCTCTCTGGCTGCTGATAGAGCATTGCCTTAGCATTGCCCACACTGCTGGCTGTTGCTTTAGGCACACAACAGAGTTGGAAAGGCTGCCACCCACTTCTCTGCCAAGGGTGTGGTACAGGTGTCTGCAAAAGCAATTAGGCTAGAAATCCCTCTGGAGAGAAGCACTGGTGAGGATAGAGTAGGGTCCCCACAGATAAGGAGCGACTCTTGGGGCATAGGAATCCCTCAGAGAGTTGGCAACTGGATCTCCTAAGTGTGTTACAAGAAGTTTTGAGGAGAAAAATTAATCTGCATACCCTTTAGATGGCATTCACTCCACACTGACATGTAGTGGGAGACTGGTGTATGGAGAGGCTTCAATAGGACGTGTGCAGAAACCCACCCTCTGAACATCTCTGGCTGAAACTCCCACTCTGTTAACAGCCAGAAAAGTCTTTTAGCTCCTCGCGTCCCTGTGACCTTGGTTTGGCACAGAGTGAATACAAAGTGAGGAGCAGCTTAGTGCTCAGAAGTGTAGCTAGTTAACTACAGCTGTCTTAGATCACCCTTCAGAGATCTACAGATTGCAAGGCAGGAATGGGGGTGGGGGGAGAGGATTTAGTCAGCTGATGAGCCTGGCTTCTATGTCTCTTTTAAGAAAGCGGATTTATTGGTATTAAACATGTCTCTCTTAATGTGGGTGATTTAAAATGGAAATTGCCTTTGAAAGGGGATTTCCTATTAACTAGCTGAGAAAGAAAAATAGGATAATACCATCATCCCTATACAGGGTCCATAGATGAGATGCAGGAACAGAATTATTTGGTTAACTGCTGCTTCTTCAGAAATTATAGCTTCTCTGTGGGAGTGAACCTTGCTCAAATTCCTCCATGAGGAATGGTTGTATAGATGCTTCTACAAAGTTATTTTTTATGGAAAAAGCAGCAATCTTACTGGGTCCTTTGGGGTTCAGGTAAGAACACACTAAATACTAATTCTGAGGGCAGGATCAGGAATGTGTCCAGCTCTTCCAAGTGTTATATTTGAGGCCAGATCGAGACAGAGACGCTAGAAGACTGGAATGAGTATTCACTTTTGTTACCATGCAGTTAATGCCAATCAAAACTTGGATTAGTTAATGATCTTAGCAAGAAAAAGAAAGCCTTGTCTATACCCAAATTCGCACTAGTTTAGTTCAGGTTGGCCCAGTTATCAATTTAATTAAGTCTATGCAGCCTCTTTATGTGGAAGAATTGATTTACTTAATCTGAACTCTTTAGCTTTGGTTAAAATACATCTGTACAAGGGCATGACTGTATAGCCAATGGAGATGGAGGTGGATATATGTAAGGTAGGTCTGGACAGACCAAATCCAGAATTCCTATCAACCAGCTAGTGCACATGGGCAGGGCAATGCCACATTAGTATCATTATATGCCACAATTAAGATTTTCTAATGTCTGTGTACTATATCATGAAGCAGTGTAAACATGTCCTGTCAAATCTAGCAATCAGTTTGGGGACCAAGGCCCTTCCCCAAGTCATTCAGTCAGGGCACAAAGCAACATGATTGGAAAGAAGCAACCTCTAATTCTTCTGTCTTTAGGTGGTCGACTTGGAGCAAACCATGGGGGTGATCCCAGCCCCTAATGGTGATCACCTGGTAAAAACAGTGTCAGCTGTCGGGGCTACCCTCATATGACCACCCATACCAGACAGATGGTGCCAGCATGCACCTGAACTCAGCCTTCTCCTGGGGTGGCTTCTGAGCTTGCCCAAGGCAGCCTGGGGAGCCCCTTTCTCAGCTGTGCTGACTATAGACAGTACTCGGCTCACCCTGAAATCTCTACCCCCTCTGAACTCAGCTGATTGCAGGCAGCAGGGCCAAGCCTTCAATTTCTTCTGAGTGCCATGAGCGCCATCCAAGAGTTTACTGCCTCCCAGTTGCTCACTGTATCTGCTTAAAAACTCCAGAAGAGTGAAGCACAGACATGACCTTCTGTCTCCAGCTCTCTCATATAGGAAGTTATGTGATGGTAAGACAAGGAATTTGGTGTTTGGGAACCACTAATGCTGGTCCCAGGAGGTGCTGTGACTGGCACCTGAAGAAAAGCAGAAGAGACAGATGGAACAAAGAGCAGCAAATAGTCAGTTGTGGATTGTGGATCTTGCTGCTGTGTATTTGTCTCCTGCCACTGTGGTTTACAGCCCCTGAGGAGCTCGTTCCTGAAGTCCCAAGAGAAACAGGGATCTGCCTACCCTGTGTCTGGGGTGGCTGGTTGAACCACTCTCCTCCACAGGATGATCATGTCCTTGCACCTGCTGAAGGTCTGCAAGCACAAAGTGTGTTCCCAAAGGCAGATAAAAACATTTTGCTTCATTTGAAAGACTGGACTGAGGCTGCAGGAAATACTCTGTGTATCGCAACAATCCTGTTGAGGGGAAGGAGGATTTAAGGGAGGTGTTAGGCACTTGGATCATTTGTCTTGGTCTGATGAGAGGAAGATGACCCTTGGTATATTGCATAGAATTGTAATTTAGGTTGGAAAAGACCTTGTGTGATTGTGTGAAGGGCAGAGAGATGTGGTTAGGCCAAGAGCTGTGCTAAGTCTCTTGCCTGGGACTCAGGCAATGCAAGAGGGCGGTCTGTGGTGACTCAGGATGTGGAGAGGCCAGGGGGTGAATGGGGGAATGGTGGAAGTAAGGGTGGATATGTAAGTGTAAGGCTTGTGTTGCAGATATGGCTTCTGTCCCAGGTCACCTTCATTGGCACTCTGCAGTTGTGCAGACCAGTTGGCCAGCATGGCATCTGGAAATGGGGCTGCTCTGTGTGGATGATGTGTCCTGACCACCCGTGGGGTGTGACCACCAAGACAAGGGGGAAGAGACAAGGAGTAAGACAGCACACTGGTGATCTGTGCAAGAGAGTGATGTTTGGTGCCTGTATGAAGGTCATTCCAAGTTGGACTTCCTTGGCCTCTGTGCTTGTGTGTGCTGGGAACATGCATTGATTAGTTGTGGGCATTCTGGCTGCTTGTTAATGGCAGGAGTGCCTGGGATAATGCTCTTGGTTGATGAGGAAAGAGAAGAGGAAGGACATGAGTAGATCTGAGCTTTGCCTGGATGGAAGAGCTGCTGAGAGACAAAATGGTGGCAGGCCCATCAGCTTTGGAGTGGATTTGCAGTGGGTTGCTGTGATCTGCCATAGCTGGTTGCTTGGAGGAATTTTGTTGCTTGGCAACCCTGTTGTCACCATTCAGATGCAATATCCGAGGAGGGGCACTTTGGAGAACTCTCATTGGAAGGAGAAGGGGGAGGTAGGGGGTGAGAGTGGGTACAATAACCATGGGGATAGGGAGCTGATGAGCATCTTGATGCTATACGGGGATATGGGCAGAGCAGGTGATGAGAAGGCTGGGCACCCTGTCTTGATACTGACCAGGGTTTTGAGGAGATATGTGGGGCATGAGGGTATGGGGACCCTGGAACATGCCTCCCCATGACTTTGTGAAGGCATGCTGGTAAACAATGGGGCTACCCATCCAGCCAACATGGTCTTTCTCAGAAATTCAGGCTCAAAGACCCTGTAGAGCATACATCTATGCTTCTGCAGAAATTGACTGAGAACAGGAAAGCAATGGGACAAGTTGCCCAGAGAGGCTGTGCAGTCTCCATCCTTGGATATTTTCAAGACTCATCTGATTAAAGCCTTGAGCAACCTGTTCTGATCTCACAAGTGACCTTGTTTTGAGCAAGAGGTTGGACTAGAACCTCCTGAGGTCCATCTCAGCCTGAATTATTCTGTAATCCCATGACTGCCCAATGGTAAGGAGTGGCTGCTGTTACTTTGTCACTGTGCTGTAGGATGCCCACAGAACCAAGCACTTCAGGTCAATACATCACCTCTGCAGTTCCCAACCCTTGCAGCCATCAAGAGAAGCTTGAAAACAAAAATGTCACAGAAGCAATGACAGTCAGATTTGCAGTTAATAGTGAAATCAGTTGTGAAACCAGTTGTTCATGTTCACCTCCTCAAAGGAGATTATACTCCTTTCATTGCAGCATACCGAGGTACCAAGCAGTTCTGAACTCTGTCAGAGTTCAAAAGAAAGAGCAGACTTCTAAGAAGACAGTCCTTGCTGATGAAAACTCTGAAACTGGTCTTTTGAGCAGTAACTCCAGGGGACATTTATCATCTGTCCAAATGCAAGATACTTGTTATCATACAGCCTGAGGCCCACCATTATGACCCGAGATTGTGTGATTAGTTAGTTCTATTCAGCAAGCTACTGGTAGCTGCACAGAAGAATAATGCAGATCTTGGTGACATTTAGAGGGGATGGGGCTGTCACCAGCCTGGTATTGCTCCTCTGTGTCCCAGGAAGTTAACCAATATGAGTGGTCTCACCATGCTGTTTCCATTAAGTAAAAAAACTGTACAACTTTTTTTTTTTTTTTTTTTTTTTTTTTTTTTTGAGCTGGTTTATTTACAGCTAGTGTACCTTAAGGACTTGTTTCATGATTACTGTAGAAGCAGATGATCATGACCAGTTTCCCTGCCTTACCAGTCAGGAGATACTTAAGTTAGCTGTATGTCAGCATCGTGTTCAAGTGCATCAGTGCCTCTCAGGTAAGCTGTCCTTTCAGATCACTGGGTTTTGAAGCTGTGGTATCATGTGTAGTGGAGACCTTCTCAATACTAGCCTGGCTCCAGCTTCTGGTGACCAGAATGGTCCACTTGGGTCTAGTGCCCTCTACCACACATGGTCATTTCAGATGGGGATTCCTGCAGTCACTAGCACAGTCCTCCTCACTCTTTCCTTGAAGATTTACATGTTTGGAATAATGGTAGTTGAAGCCAGACTTTCTCTGCAGCAATTATGGTCCCATAGTCTCTCTTTAGTATGCTTAGAGAGGAAAAATACTCAGTTTGCAATTTTGGGGATAAAGGTTGAGGGAGACAGTGGTAATCACCTGAGGAGCAGAGACTGGCTTGAACTCAACTCTTAACTTTACATTGCGTGGATGCCTGCACCCAGGCCTTGTATAGCCTCCATCATCTTATCCTATTTCATTTTTTTTGTCAGGGGTCCTATGGCGTGGGCTACTGGCTTGTCTTCTGGTGGAGAGCTGGATCAGGACCAAGGCCTTTTCCAGAATCATATCTATTCTCAATTCTGGGACCCAATATATCTGGATGAAGAGGAAAAACAATTCTGGCCCCATCATTTTTTGGGAAGCTATTTAGATTTTTTTTTTGCCCAGCTGCAACTGACTGACTGATTCCTGCCTCCCTGCTGGAGAGCATCAGTTCTGGGAGATGGGGACCAACACTCAATGGGTCCATGCTGTTCTCTGCCTCTGGGAAGGCCAGCAGCAGCAGGTACAGGTGCTTGTATACACACGAAGATCTTCTGACATGCTGTGCCGTGAATTTGCACATCCAATACTGTCAGCACGCAGCCTTTAAGGCCAAGCGTGCCACACACCTCAGACTGTCAGCATACAGCCTTTAAAGCCAAGGGTGGAGAGGGACAGCTATCAGCTTCTGTCAATGGGTAGCAGCCTAGTTTGAGGCACTGAGATTGTCACAGGAGAGGTAGGCACTGGCATGGTGTACACTTTTTATCCCATCATGATATGCCCCATGTCACAGCACACCTTGTAGTGACCCGGAGGGAGTACTAACAGTTTTAGTCAAAACAACTTCTCCAGCTGCTGGACCTGTGGCTCTACAAACTGTCAACCTGAGGTAATGGCTCATCAAATGAATAAAAAGGCTTCCTATGCCTTTATAGCATAGGAGCTGATGGACGGGTGAATGGGATGTTTGACCCACTGTGTGTCCATTAATGCAGGCAATATTGGGTATGTGTTGGATGCCCACATCTTCAGAAGTTCTCTTTGTCGTGGCCAGGTCAGGCTTTTTTCTGCCTGTGAACAAGAACTTTTTTAGCACACTGCCACCAACCCGTACTCCACATGATGTACCTTATTCTTGCGTCTCCTTCTGGACATGGCTGGCCATCACAGACATTGCACTAGGCCTTCAGGTCCTGTTGACTTTTCAAAATGTGCATTTTCAGTCAGTTACCTGTAAGAGCATCCCAAGGTTCGCTGACATTTCTGTAGCCTGTTCTGGATAACACAGGAAAGCAAGGCCAACAAGAAGCCATTTCATCAACACTGGATTTGCTGAATTCAAATCTACCTTTGCTCAGCCCAACAGAGCCACCAAGCATTGGGTGACTTCTGGTAGGTAAAGGTCCCTTTTGGTATTATATACGTCTGTGGCAGAATGGAAGTGAATATAATTCACAGTTATAATTAACCAGTCATAGAATCATAGAATATTCTGAGTTGGAAGGAACCCACAAGGATATCTGAAGTCCAATTCTTGGCCCTGCACAGCGCAGCCCCAAGAATCCCATAATGTTCCTGAGTGCGTTGTCCAAACGCTTCATGAACTCTGGCAGGCTGGTGCTGTGACCACTTTCCTGGAAAGCCTATTCCAGGGCCCAAGCATCCTCTGGGTGAAAAACCTTTTCCTAATATCCAAGCTAAACATGCCCTGACATAAAGTCATAGCTCTGCCAAATACTGACCTCTTCATTACCCTGTCCCAGCATCTCTCTTCTCTCTGCATCCCTTGAGGTGCCACAGGGAACAATATAGCTGAGAGACAGACCCTCTCTAATGTTTCTGAAGACAAAAATATCTGGGGAAAGTGGCATTAGTGATATCCCTTTTCCCTGTGCGTTTACGTCATTAGGTTGTGGGCTGTCCCTTGTGTTATCTGTGCCACTGAGACAGTGTCCTCTGTCCTTACAGAGGCTGTGCTGCAACAACAAAGCTGTTAGTTGGCAAAGGCAAGAAGATGGGGACCTCAGGAAGTTGAGTCATGCAAGACACACCAACCAGTTTATGAGAAAAAATGTACAATTCCTTCAGGTAGCATGAAAATACATGGCCATCCTTGGTGTAGAATAGGGACATGACAAACAAGGACAAAACAGCCTGCAGGTTCGCTTGTTGTGGGCACGAGAAAGCCTGCTAGCACATCAAGCCCAGAGTACTGACTCCTGACTGACATAGGGGCTGAAGAAAAGTCCAGCTGCTCTTTTTGCCAGGGCAACAAACCACAGCTCCGCAGGAGTTTTATGTACTTGCATTTAAAGGGCACAACAAAGGACAAATGGCCTTGTTGTAAACCCAAACAACACAACAGCATAAATACAGGGGAATAGCATGAAAAGAGCACAGAATATAGTCACAGATTTCCCCCTTCTCAGGCAAACCTATTTACAAGGGCCAGAGGAAGCCAAGATTTTCACTGTGAGCTGCTTTAAGCTGTCCTTCCAAATAAATGTTGCCTTGCTGTAATGCCCAGCCTCTGTCCTTGGACTGGGAAAGTTGCCAGAGTGTGGCCAAAGCTCTAGGTGGACATTTTCTAAAGACGATGAGGGGAGAGGGACAGAACAGCGTGTGCTTTTCGGAATTCAGTGCTTGGTAAGGATGAGGAAAAGGCACACCCCATGCACAGGAGTGGTTCATATTTTCCATTTTCCCACTGCCAGGACATAGAAACACAATCAGCACTTGGATCCTGGAAGTAACATGATGAGGAGACGATACACTTGCAGGCTTGCTGGAGGATGGAGACTGGTCAGCTGAAGACATCCCTGGCTCTGAGTTCATAATCACTGTGGAGATGAAAGATAGCCCATATTTGAGTAAGGCCTGGTCCTGGGATCAGGTTTACAGCTGATGTATGGGGGAAAAAAAAATATCAGAGCATTAGATATTCTGTGGGCAGTGCATGCCATCAAGATACTGAGGTTTGAGTTTGGGTCAGACCTAACATGAGAGCAAAAATGGGCTGCTGGGCTTTAAAGATAAATGTTGATCCATGGCAATTTGATGGTAGATTAAAAGATGCAGATTTTTTTTTTTTTTTTTTTTTTTTTTTTTTTTTTAGAACTCTGTATCAGAGGTATTTCACTTATTGCCTTTTCCTAGATGTCTACGTAAAGGAGAAAAGAAGGTGGCAGTTTTCTTTAGAATATAGAGGAATCTGACAGAAATCCTAATGCTTCTTCCAGCTAGAGGGCTGAATTATTGAGTCAGCTGGCTCACTTGGAAACAGCTCAAGCAAAAGAAATCTGTCTCCATCTGCATAAAGTAATTTGCCAAGGGTAGATCACCTCAGAAAGGTGTGGTGGTGATGGGGCAGCATGATAACCTCAGTTGCTGGAGGTAGATATTCTTTCCCAGCTCTGTGAATATTCAGGTTTAGCACATGCTTTCCCATCCTTTCAATTAATGAGACTACTACATAAACTGGCAGAGGAGCAGGTGACCCTGATTCTGCCAGCTCTCAACTGACCATGGACACAGTGGTTTTCAGAGCTACTTTTGAGCTCATTAACATCTCTCTTCTGTTTGCCCCCGGGCAAGGAGCTTCTTTGGGGACCACAGCTGCATGCTAACTGAGCTAATTTTTCACTTTAAAGTGTGTCTACAGAAAACATTTGTCTTAAATTAGATGGTCAATGCAAATCTACAATAAATGGTGGAGTGAACACCTAACACAAACCCTATGGGAACATCTCCAGCTCACCAGCTCTTGGCTTGCTGGTGAAATCATTCTTACTTCTGTTTCAAGGAATGCTTTCAGATCCATATTTCTGCATGAGAAAAGTGATCTGCTTTTCTAACGTCATACTAGTCCTTTCTCAGAATCCTTGACAGTACAAATAATATTTTCCTTCTCTACCGTTTCTACCCCTGCACCCATTTGGTGAGTTATTTGCAATACCATCTGCTTCACCTGAAGGTGAACGAGAGGAACAGAGAGAGATTCAGTGCTGTTATCAACCCTGGACTTTCCTGAACAGAAGCAGGGTCTGTTGGGATGTCGTGATTTACAGGGATTTTCAGAACTGCCGCGCCAGCAGGGAGCCCAAGCTGGTGACACTAACCAATGCCTCCTCTTTGCCACATTGCCATTAATGTGAGTCCATTTACTGAATATACCCACTCCATATGTACATCTGTGTAATAAATGGTATCAAAAGTTCTGATAGAGCTTGCAGGTGAAGGAGGACATGGGAGGTGGGTGGGATTTCATCTTTGCTTTCCGTACATCATTTCCCTGTGTTAAGAACTGAAAGGAATTCATGGAGAAAAGATGAACCATGTGTTCAGAGGAAAAAAAGTAATGATGCTTTGCTGACAGTGTTTTTAGGTCATAAGGTGTTTAAACAAAAAATACATTCTTTGGGAGAAAACTAAATATTTGTGTACACTGCTGCTGCCAATTTTTGCCTTAGAGGTGACAACTATTTTTAAGAACGAAGGATTTATTTTTTACCCACAGTAACTTAATGTTCCGAGTGAGTTTATAATAGCGTTGATTAAGTGGTAGCATTTAGTTTGAGTGAAATATCAGCCATGATGTACTCTTCTTTGCTCCAGACACTTGTATCATTCTTGGAGCCATTTAACTTTACTTATTCCTTTCACAGGAGGCAGTTCATGTTGTACCAATGCCCCATTGAACAAGCATTAAGGATTTGAAGCTGCATAAGTGAAGTTGAGGTATTCTGGTAGCCTGAAGGAATCTGTGGAACAGCAAGTGAAAAGCTGGATATGTCCCATTGCTTTGTCTAGACACCATTAAAATGGAGTAGGGCTTTTCTGCTACTTAACTAGCATGTAGGCCTTCTGTGTAAGAAAAATAAATGTACTTATTTATGATAGCACCAATACCGTAGTACTTTGACCCAACTATAACACTCAGAGCAAAGAAGTGGCATGTTATTAACTTTTTTATTATCTACAAGAAAGCAAGATAAAAGGTGAAAATCAGGAAGCTTAAGCGACTGAATCTTATTGCCCTGCATTTTTGTACTGGACAGTTTCCCTTTTAATAGTGGGAACTGGAAAGCTAAGTTTCTTGGAATGCAACTAGCTGAGCTTTTGCCTTTATATGGATATTGTAGAGTAGATCCCTGAAGGTGTTTGCAGCAGCTCTCAGTAGCATGAACAGTAAACTAGATAATTGGTGTGTTGGTTCTCATCCAATAATAATTTATTTCCTGGGAGCAACTTCAAAGCTTAATCCTAGAATTAAATCCCCTATTCCTCCTTGGGATTTTAATTTAGTTTTGAATGCTCTGATGGATCCTCTGCTAGAATATTGAAGATGGCTT